ATATATATAGTCATAAAAATTTCTCTCCTTTTAAAATTTGTATTCTTATGATTACTTCATGTTCTCTGCACAATGTGATACCTAAGATTTGGCTTAGACTTAAATTGATATTAGAACACTTTAAGGCATTTGTTTTATAAAGTATTATGGTTAAGGTGCATAGAAAACATCAACTGTAAAAAAGAAACTTCTATCAAATGCTGAAATAATGCCTTCCCATTTCCTTAATTCTTGCTTTGCTACCTAATTTCACATCCCTACATTTATGGAAATGTTATGTCCATGAAAGGCCTCAGGACAGATACATCTTAAGTATTTTAGTTTATTAAACTAAATAAATCTGCATATTACACAGCACCTTTAGAACAAGATAAAACACTTTCTTCCTGACCCTAACAAAACAGCTTTCATGTACATATAGAATGTTTCCAATAGCTCTTCACCTTGTGTTTTATAACAGTGAACAATGACAGCTCTAAGAAATGGTAAATAGCCAACAACTACAGAATTTACTTTTATAGTACTTGTGAAAATTTGTCAAAACTAAATAAACTGGGGAATAAATTAAGGCTCAATACATCTCACAAAATTTGAAGCAAAAAGGATGCAAGCACAAGGTCCCGAGTTTGATCCTCAGCACTGCCAAAAAGAAATAAAATTCATTTTATTTATTTTAATAAAATATACAAATTTCATTTTATTTATTTTAATAAAATAAATAAAAGAACATACACTTGAAAATTATTAGCAAATCAAAATACAGTTCATTGAAAACACTAATGGCTGGGGAGCTAGCTCAGTGGTCTAAGCACCTGCCTGGCAAGTGCAAGGACCTGGGTTTGATCCCCAGTACCACATACCAGGCCAGCCAGGAAGCCGAGGCACACTGTGCCAGCCACTGAAACTGGGCATGGTGGGGGCTGAGACAGGAGGATCCCTACAAGTTCAAGCTGCGTACTGACACCCTGTACCAAATATATAAATAAATAAATAGATTTAAAAAATACTAATAAATACTAATAAAAATGAGAAGCTGCTGAGATGCACTAGTCTGGAAGAAAGAGAAATAGCATCAATTATTAATGTCAAGAGTAGAAAAGAAGAGACCATTTCAAATCTTACAGACATTCAAACATCGGTATTTTCCTCTCAGGGAATGACCAGGACTCAGTGCCAGTGCTCAGCAGGGAAGCAAGCACAACAGGGCAGTCCTGCACACAGAGCTGGAGCCCAGGGAGCCAGAGAGGTCCAGTGAGGGCAGCAAGCCCCTCGACAGGATACAGAGGGCCTGCAACA